ACCCGAAGGAATAAGACCGGGAGGCATGCGGATGGGAGCCACGTTTCATCAACGGAGCCGGCCCACACTCCTTCACAGACAAACACAAGCGCGCAGTATTTGGGAATCAATCGCACACAATGCGGTGGTTGGACAGTGGTCCGCTCCACAATGAGTGCATGAAACCGCTCTTCGAGCCTAGCAGGACCAAAAGGACCGTGCACCCCGTTCCCTCCAGCAACGACCAACTGTCTTCTAAAGCCAGTATCGACTAGGTGGGGGCAATAGACAGTTACGCACCTTCTGAACATGTACGTCACCGGGGATGTCAAATAACAGTCAATCACTTGAAACGACAATATCAAATAAAATATATCTGTTAAAGAATACCGCTATGCAGACATATCTTCCCTAAATTAGCATATGAAGTAAGTTATTTATCAACAAATCTGCAATAAGTACAAAATGTCCAGAAGTTGTACAAAAAATGCTACAAACACAATACAGTCAAGGAAGATAATCACAATTAGCGTAAACAACGTGGACAGTTAATAGAAGATTAGTCATGTAGGCAGAACAAAGCAAATCAAGTCGCATGAAATTTATCCGGCTAAAAAATACCTAGCTTAGGTGTAAGTTGGCTTAGCCCAACTGCGGCGAAAAAGCATCATGAATGTAACATCAGCCTCAGCTAGAGGTGCGAAACACCTCAGCTACTGTGCCGCAACACCTAAAAGAAAAAAGGGAATAAAATGCAACAGATACAAGTCAGCTGAGTTTCCGGTAATTGATGGGCATCGTTTTGGTAAGCTACGTGCCGGTTACTATGAAGAAAAAAATTTACTATGCAAAATTATAAAACGCTAAATAGTGAGATCGTGGTTGGAGGGGGAGGCTAAGAGGTATGTGGTGGGATAAAGAAACCTGATCAATTCTACACTCAGTTATCCTTTGTGATACGGTCTGTGCCCAGGGGCGACCGACTATTTCTGCTGGGTGCTTTCAGCGTGCGCGTTGGGCCTGATGCATCGGCGTGGACAGATGTCGTCGCCCCGCATGGCATTGGCTCAGCGAATGCGAACGGTGGCAGGTTGCTCTCACTGTGTGCCACTCATGGCCTGACGATCACGAACATGGTTTGCATTGAGTGCAAGTAATATGGCAACTTGGACGCACCGACGGAGTGATCATGCGCACCTGCTCGACTATGTCATTGTATGTCAGCGTAGCATGCGTGAAGTGCGCATGACACTTGTAATGCGTGCAGCTGAGTGTGACACTGATCATAAATTTGTGCGGACCAAACTATAGATATATTTTCATAAATCTATGTATTGCACTCCCACTGTGAATCGGCGTAAAGGTAACATTCTCTCCCTCGGTACTGTGGCGAAACGTATTCAGATGGGGAAGTCGATGGCTGCACGCCTGTGTGATGTGGAGTGCATAGCCACAGTGGGCGACCTGTGGCACCACATTCGTGATCAGATGACAACTGCTGCCGAGGAGACCATCGGGCGCGCAAACTATAAGCGGCCTGATTGGTTTGATGAGAACAATGCGACGATTGGCGCATCGGTGTCAGAGAAAAATACAGCATTTGCTGCACATGTGGCAGGCCCCAACGACTTGAGGAAAAACAGTAGGTTTCGCAGAATTCGACGATGACTGACCCGAGAGCTCCGTCGCATTAAAAATGCATGGTGGACGGAGAAGGCGAATCAGATGTAATGTTACGCCGAACGCTGTCAACACAAGGAATTCTTTGATTCTTTGAGGGCTGTATGGATAGAGGTTGCAGCCGCTGAGGGCGCTGATCGATGGTAACACAGGTGCTGCGTGCAAACAGACTGCATACATAATGCAGATGTGGCGAAATCACTTTGACCGTCTCTTGATCAAGCGTTCGGAGATTGACTGGCCTACAATGAACGACCTGAAGAAGCACGAAGTGGATGTGAGTCTGGCAGACACGCCGACAATGGATGAGACGTAGAGAGCACTTGCCCAGCCGCGAAAAGGCAAGTGTGAGGGTGACGACGGGATCCCAACTGAAGTATTGAAACACGGCGAACCCGCATTGGTGAATGCGCTCCACCAGTTGGTGCAACGTGTTTGGACTGAGTAGTAGGTGCCACCAGAGCTGAAGGACGTCCTTATGCTACCAAAGCACAAGGATAAAGCAAGCAAGCAATGTTCCACGAATTATCGTGGTAGCAACTTGCTGAGTTGCGGGCGCAAAAAGATTGCCCGAATCCTGCTCAAGCGCCTCGTCAGTCAGGTTGTGGACCCGTACCTGGCGGAAGACCAACGTGGATTCCCTTCACATCACAGCACCATCGATATGATGTTTGCGGCTCGTCAGTTTCAGGAGAAGTGTAGTGAACGACACCAGCTGTTTCATTCGCTTTTTGTTGATTTCACCAAGCATTTGATACGGTAAACTGCGAGGCACGTTGCTTGGTGTTGGGTAAGTTTGGTTGTAAGAGCAAGTTGTAAGTTCAATTAAATGCCCGCATAGTGGTATGCGGACGAAGGTGCAGCTGAGTAGACAGAAGACGTTTGACTTTGTAGATGTATCTGGTGTGAGGCAAGGCTGTGTCTTAGCTCCTTCCCTGTCTAACATTTATCTTCATGCAATGAAGTATTGTTCTCTTGATGCGGCTTGTGTTTATGGTGTTCGTGTAGAGCACCGTATTGATGGTGGGTTGCTGAACATCCGTCGTTTCGGGGCGAGAACCCTACTCTGTGAGACAACTATCCGTATGCCGCTGTTTGCTGACGACTATGCGTTGTTTGCACACAGCGCGAATGAGTTGCAGCACATGACTAGTACTCTGGCTTCGATAGCGGCCAAATTCGGACTCACCATCAACACAAGCAAAACTCACTTTCAGCCTTTACCGGAAGTGCAATCTGCAACAGTGCTGCGAATCCGCATTGGTGATGTATTGGAAACTACGTCCCGCTTCTGCTACCTTGGGAGTGTGGTTCCAACTGACCAGCAAATACACAGTTAGCTTCGTATCCGCGTCTCAAGGTCAGCGGCGGCATTCGGGAAGCGTGAGTACCGAGTGTGGAACAACCATCAGCTTACCGTTGGCACGAAGCTGATCGGATACAAATCCATGGTGTTGTGCGCTCTTCTATACGGCAGCGAAAAGTGGATGATTTACCGGCGGGATGTCCGATATCTCGAGCGGTTCCATTAACAGTGTCTGCGACGGATTCTGCGCATCGGTTGATGTGACAGAGTTGTAGACGCGGAAGTGCTGCGTGGAAGTGAAATGCGTGCAGTGGACTGCATACTTTTGCTGAGACACCTGAGGTGACTCGGTTACGTGTGGCGTATGGATTCGACGCGGATAGCGAAGCAACTTTTATATAGTCAGCTGAGTGTGGGGAAGCGGTATGTGGGAAGACCGAAGCTTCGTTACCAGGACATGATCAAAGTGAGCCTATCACGTTCCAATGTGGATTTCAGATGTCGGGAATGAAAGGCGGTTAATCGGCGTGCATAGCACGATCTGATCACGAAGGCTGCTGCCGAGGTGCAAGAGGAAGCCCTCGTGCATGCAGGGAAGCGGCAACTGCGGAAGCGATAGTCGCTGATAGGGTGTACTCCATCGACATCAAGCGCATGGTGCTGTAACACATACGGTCGCGAGTGCATGAATCAGGCAGGTCTAGTGAGCCACGAGTGAGGCCAGTGAAGACCAGCATCAAAACTAGGACTGGTCCTGCTGGGAACGTAAGCAGACCCGGCGCAGCGTTGGTAGGTTTGCCGCATTCGGTTTACTAATGTTGTGCTTACGTGCTGAGTTTCTTTATTTCAGGTGGTGGATTTGCTGTCGTGTTGCAATGCACATCTTCTTTTTACCTCAACTTGCAGTCTACCAGATTAATGTTCTATAAACTTGCACACATCGCTTAAGTCTATTGTGGTTAAGTTCGCTAACATTTTCGCGCTTGTGGCACCCTTTTAAAAGTATATTCTCACACATCTTGCACTTATCGCGGATTTGTTGATAACCAATTTATTACATATGCTCATTTTGTGTCAAGTTATGTCAGCATTTCCGTATGCTTTAATCGGTATATTACTTATTACCAGCATTTCAAGGGTTTGACTGTTGTTTGAGATTCCCGGTGTGGCTGCGCTTGATGTGCATGTTGACAAGGTGCCTACCTGTCCATTACCCACCACCTCGTCTATACTGGCTCTAGTAGACAGTTGGTTGTTGCTGGAGGGGACGAGGTGCACGGTCCTCGTGATCGTGTTAGGTTCAGAGTCGTTCTATGCAGACGGTTCGTGTGTGGAGGGGGCGATGGCCTAACCACCGCCTTGTGTGTTCTTGATTCCCCTAATAAAGCGTGCTTGTGTTTACCTGTAAAGGAGTGTGGGCCGGTTCTGCTGATGAAACGTGGCTCCCATCCGCATGCCTCCCGGTCTTATTCCTTCGTGTTTACACCGGATATGGGGTGTGTGGATGGAGCTGTTGGTGGTGCAATGCACCCTGTGTGTAGCGGATTATTGTCTATCCACGGCTTGGTTCCCTCTTCGATACTCGGACATGCAGCTCACTATTTGTAAGCACAGTACTAAAGTAGCAGAAGTGGGAAATGGTTACCAATACTTCGTCCCCAATGCCGATTTAAGGGTATATTGCAGATTGCACCTCCGGTGAAGGCTGAAAGAGACAGACAGTTTTGCTTGTGTTGATGGTAAGCCGGAATTTGGCCGTTGTCGAAGCCAAAGCACTAAACATGTGCTGCAATTCATCCGCATTGTGTGAAAACAACGCACACATACATATATATATATATATATATATATATATATATACACGATTGGGGATGTCGCATTTCAAGATGTGTGAACAATAGTTATCAATGATAGAAAGAAAAGCATGAGAAAACTGAAGGCGATAACTAACTAACATTTTCGGCTTCCATCAAAGCGAGGACAAAGTTCAAAAAGTTGGCTATTTCCGAGAAAAATAGCAAGTTTGTGAACGTACGCGAATGTATACGATTCACCCTCAAGTTGATGCCACAAATCGCATATTGCCTTGAAAGCCGGTTTATGTAGGCTAGGACCAACAGTAGCGAGTGGCACCGATGAATGATTAGGATGTGGAGTCGCAAATGAAGGCCGGGTACCCGGAAAAGCGTCTTCACGAAGGTTGCGGCCAATTAAACTGAATTGGATATCAGCCGTGCGCAGCTCGTCAAAAAGCCTGGCTAGTTTCGAGTGATCGCCTGGTCCTTCGAGGTTGCTCACAAGTAGGACACGTTTTTCCGAAAGTCTTTTAATGGCTCTATTGCGGGAGTCCAGTCAACGTCGCAAGCCGTACTTACTTGCTTTTATTGAGAAGATGATCAACACCGACAATGAGAGCATCTGTAACTGAAAGGTGCTAAAAGTAAAGACCTAAAGATAACAAACCATCAGCCTGCTCCGTGGATAGCAAAGTTTCTGAGTTTATAAACTCCAACAAGTCCCAATCGATATCTGACAACTCACGAACAAGGGAGATATTAGGAAAGATTTCAATTCCATTGGAAAGCCTGTTATCGGATTCCGCCGTGCCGCAGAGAATAAGAGCTACCTTCTCCTTTTTTTCAGCGAAAAACTAAAACGACTAGTTAAAGTTTGCGAAAAGTTCACCTTCCGTTGAATAAGCGATTTCAAGCAGTCTAGTCCCTGGTCAATTACTTCACGCATGTGAATTCCGACATCTAAGATTATGCACACTGCAACCTATGAATGACGATTCCGAGAATCAAAATTACGCAACTCTACCGTCATTTTGTTGAGAAGTACTAAAGTTTAGGTCGAAATCCAGTAAAAACTAGTAAAAAGAAAAGCAAGTGATATAAATTGATGCAGTCTAAATAGCCTCTTGCAGTAGTATACCGATGGGACAGTTCAGAAATATACAGTGGTAAGCTCAGGTAAGAAAACCTTGCTATCGTTAAATTAAACACATCGCCACTGGCAATGGGCAGGAGACAGACTGGGTAGTTGATATATATGATGGTCCAGCAGGTGAAAAGTGCATTATAAATGCACCAATACATCGTCTTGGAATTTCGCTACAATGCAACCACAGGTTACCATAAAGGAGCTGGGATATTGCAGCAGTACCTAATCCTAGTAAGGAGCAAAGACACGATACTAGGACATATTGTGAGCTAAATGTCTGAGCTACTATACCACCGATCACGGAGTGGGAAGACACGCTTTCCTGGGTAGTTCCAGCATCATGCGAAAACACAGTGGCGATCTCTGAGTAGACGAACTCTGCCCCGCCCAGTTCACTTCAATTAAGCAAGTACGGTCTGGACGCCGAAGTGCAGCGGACCAATTCACTACAAACTCCATCGCTAGAGGAAACTAAAGGAAATAAATAAATAACGAGGACAGGAAAGTGAAGAGGAACTCAAACATAATACAAGCTATGAAAAAATTACGTAGACTGCGAGACACGGTCCAGGTTGTTGGTCTGATCAAATCATCAAGATGGATTGTAACGATGGTGGCTTATTCAAGTACATAGACAAACAATTGTGGTCACGACTTGGTGAGGCACACTTCAATTAGTGTAGTCAGTCAATCACAGGAAAAGCAATGTATCGACCACAGGTCAGTTGGTAGTTAGCAAAGATATTACAAGGTAGCAATTTCGTGTGTCAGTGACATTCTAGTGAACAGTTGGCCTGTGATGTAGTCTGTCATTGTAGCAGAGTGAGGTAGCTGAATGAAGAGCAAGGTGCAGCAGACGAGGTCAGTTTGAGCTAATAAGGGTCGATGCGTTTCTTCATGTCAAAGGATAAGTGCTAGATCGTTATCTGCATGGAAGTAATACGCAACCCAATCAGGAGTAAACGTAGATTTCTCCGCGGTAGTTGAACGAGAAGGGGACGAAAGACCCAATGCAGCAGTGACACTGACTGCGCAATGCCAAAGATTTTCCAGCAACGGAAGTAGGGCACCAGAGGCCCCTAACATAGAAGACGGCAGGCACGAATCTGACCTAGTCTCTCAGTCAATTTTTTCATGACACGCTATCAACCGGCCACTTCGTAGTTTCCTCCAACTTGATGCAGAGAAAACGCATGTCGAGGAAGCTGGTTAACTGGCAAAAAGAAGATGACTGGTCAACGTAAGCGGTTAAGCTTTGACAAACAGTCCGGCTTCTTGCCAAAAGCCAACTACAGGACCTCAGCATTGCAAACCGAGTGTTCCCACCATATGTGAGCAATACTCCGTAAGCGCCGATGACCAAACACAATCAAGCGTTCAATGTATTCGCCGCGAACTGACCAGGTTTCTGATCCATACCTGATTTGATGTGCCTCGGTGGATTCGACAATAAACTATTTATTTATTTATACAGCAACAGCGGCCTTATTGCAGCGTTATACACCCTACCTTTCACTGACAGGCTGATATCCCACCATCTCCATAGATAGCTGAACCTCTGGAAAGCCACACGGGCCTCTTGTTAAGCGAAGCAACCTCTTCAGTGACACAGCTGCCAAGTTTATTGAAGCAATTTACCACTCCTAGTGGCCGTTCGCTGATAGCTAAAATCGGTGGGATAACAGTCTACTCCTGCAAGAATACCTTGCACTGTGAAGGTGCAAAGCACGTGCTGAATCGTGCGTGGCTACGAGGCAGTCTATTCAGTAGTGTTTGTACAGTCAGTGTCAGATCCAAGAGCTATGTCATAAACACACTCCAGGTTTGTTAGTCGGTAAGCTGGAATAACTTTACCCCAGAATAGTATGAAAGAACGGAGTCCGTTGTGAGCATTTCGATCCCATAGTTAAAGAGAAAAGAATAAAGCATAGTCTTGGCAACCCTTACTTGCCGTGGGAAATCAAGACGACAGCTGCCCGTAGACCCTCAACTGACTTCGAGAGTCACAGTAGAGAGAATTCGGAATGAAAAGTATTCCTGACAGGCCCATACCGGACAAGCAGTATCGCAATCTGGTATAATCGACAGGCTCGGTGACATTTATGTCAAGGAAAACCACCATAGTCGGTCGCCAGTGTGTATCTGATCCCACAAATGGCAAATAATAAATATTTGGCCTATGCAGCAACGACCAAGGCGGAAGACAGTTTGGTTCTTAGTGATGCGGCTCATGAGGAGCGGTTAATCGTCCAAGAAGTGTACAATGACAGAAGTTTGGGGGCAATGGAAATAAGGCCAATGCTTAGGTGATTTTTGCCCTTTTTGTAGATGAGCAGGATATCAGACAGTCGCTAGGCTAAAGACAGCCCAACAGTATCCAAAATCGTGTTAGATAGGGCAGCAAGTCGGGTCAAGAAAGGGTCACCACTAGCTTCCAGAAAAGATATAAAAAAGTTGGCCGAATCGTGGAGACTTGCCTCGTCTCAATAAGGCGAGTTCATGTCGAATTCCTTCCGAAATGGGGGTGTACCATCAGTTTTTTAAGTGGGTTCAAGTGGTTCAGATAGCGGTCTTGTCGCAAAGCGCCTGTTATATTCTTCTTAAAGATCTTCCGCTCAAAGACAGTTGGCAGTCGCCAGAATGAAGATATCCATTCAGCGCCCCAACTCCTAGTAAATAAAGAACCAACCTCAATGACCCAAGTTACTTTTATCTTTCAATAAAAATAGAGGAACATCGTCGGGTCCAGGAGACCTGTTTTGCTTCAACACGGAAATCTCATGTCAAATCTCTTCCAAAACAGGAGGTGGGACATCAACATACCATGTGGGCTCAGGTGATTTGGCAAGCGGCAGTGTCGCAGCAGGTCTGCCGTGGTCTTCCTCAAAATGTTCCGCTCAACGGGTCAGTCAATGACAAGGCTGAAAATGCACCAACTGTTCATATTTCTCAGCTACTGTCTCACTAATTGATGGCTTTCTCAGACCCATGTTCCGAAGAAGCTAGAATAGTGCCCGGCTGTTCCCAATAGCACTCGCTTTCTCCATCTCACGGGTTTTGCCACCTACCAACTCCCCTGGTCGATAGAAAGAATTCTTGTCAGATGTCATTTCAGGGTGCTACCGACACACTGAGACTAAGTGCCCTTTGGAATCTGTTTACGCAATTTGATCAAAGCGATGGATGCGTCAGATCCATTCACAGTTATGGCGTCTCTAGTTAGGTGCACAGCAGGTGCCGAAGGCATTTTTATGGCACATGATCCCAGTCCACGTCCGGCGCACCAACCACACCTCATCACTTACAACTGGTGGGCCAGTTCCTCATGATACTATTGAACTGCAGACTTCGAGCTCAAGATGCAAGTAAGAACAGAAGTTAGGTGCTTATATGAAGCGGGAGGAGTGAGCACTAAGCGTACACGCACTAGAGCACGATCGGAATCAAGGCGCGTGCACTAAATTGACTGACAGTCTTGGACTGACGTGCGCCATCTGTAGCTGATAGCAATATGGTCAATTCGGGTCTAGATTATCGTGGAATTCGGTGGGCGCCAGGTGACGTGATATGAAGGTTGGTGTAGAAAAGCAGTGCTGCGGCGTTTCTGGCCAGGTATTGAAATGGATTTCGGCATTCCTAGAGGGAAGAGAGGTTGGCGTTCGAATGGTCTCCGGGCTCTCTTTATGACAAGCTCTTCTGAATGCTATTCCGCAGATATTGGTTCTCGGTCATCTACTGTTCGCTGATTATATAAGAGTTTAGAGTGTAGTGAGCGATTTTGAAGGCCTCTTGGCTTCGCAGATAGCGCTTGACAAGCTTTTGGAGTGGTCAGATTTGCAGCAGCTGCCAATAGCTAACCAAGTGCTTGGTCCTAGGCATAAGATCAAGTGCACCTTCAACTAGTTATCTACTTAGCGGAAATGCTGTTTGCAGGAGACCCACCAAGTGTCTCGCTATCCTCTAACTTTAAATCCAGCAGGAACTGGACAGCGGCAACTCGCAAGGGTTTCCGAATGCTGTGGATGATCCGCAGGTCGTTTGGCATCAAAACAAATGTTTATTATAGTGTTCGCTGTTCTTGTAAGACCATATCTGGAGTATTGCGTGTAGGCCTGTCCTCTATGCTTGGTCCGCGACAAGATGGCAATTGAACGAGTTCTGAGGTATGGCACAAAAATGATGCACGGGTTAGAAAATCAGTCGTAGTACCGTAGGATGCTTAGATTGCGGATGTTTATGCTGCGCCAGAGGCGCATTCGGGGGGACTTTATCCTTACGTATTGTATACTGACTGGCCAGATTTGTCCTGATCTATCCGGACAGTTCCATCCCACCCGGATGCCAACACTTCGGGGGCATTCTCCGAAGGTTCATAAGACTAGATCTGATTGCGTTAGAGAGGAATTTCATTTATCACGTAGGGTCGTGAATTCATAGAAGGCACTAACCAAGGATGTGGTACTAGCACCAGTGTTGAAGGACTATGGAAATCAACTCGGTGCTCTTCAGTCGCAGTTTGAAAATTTCCCTTCTGGCTCTTAAGTTCTGTCACTATTTCCTTGACCGCATCTATCATCGCTATTACTACTTGCTTTTGTACACTTGTCTTTACTAGTATAGGTAATCTGTTTTTATAGTTTCCCTTCTCTTAGTCCTTACTCACGGCCGGTAGAGCAGGGACTGCTAGTGCAGGCCACGTGGGCACCGATTGGTTGACTGTGATCTGATTCCGATGCATACGTTTGGCTGTCCTCGGTATGATATTGATCCCAGGAACTCTGTCCTGGTTCAATGACGCACTCAAAAAGGAACACTTATGGTAATTTACTACTGTTCCCGTCCCAAATTGTACTTAATCCGAGGGGTGAGTCCGAAGCTGCGTG